GGTGGGGGTGAATGTGGAGGAGAGGGAGTTAAGGAATTATGCAGGTGTGTTAGGTTGTGCAATCTCATATTGGCCTTTGATGTACTTGGGCCTCCCTTTAGGAGATAACCCTAAGAATGAAAGCTTTTGGACTCCGGTAGTGGAGAGATTTGAGAAGAGGCTTGCGTCCTGGAAGAGAAATTATCTTTCCTTAAGAGGAAGAGTCACTCTGATTAGGTCCACCCTAGCTAACTTACATGTGTATTATTTGTCAGTGTTTAAGATCCCCACCAAGGTCTCCAACTTATTGGAAAAATTAATGAGAAATTTTCTGTGGGAGCCGGGAGAGGAGAAGAGAGATCATAGGGTGAGATGGGAAGTGGTAATTAGATGTAAAAAACTAGGTCTTGGGATTGGAAACATCAAGAAAAGGAATATGGCATTGTTGGGAAAATGGTTGTGGAGGTTCACAGTGGAAAAGGAAAAATTGTGGACAAAGATCGTGGCTAGCATACATGGGCTGGAAGACAACGGCTGGGATTCTGGAATTGTGGCAAGGGCTACAGCTGCTTCTCCGTGGAAATCCATCCATGATTTCCATCTAGTTTTCTCCCCTTGGATCAAGTACGGTGTTAACTCTGGCAATCGAATAAAATTATGGGAACATCTTTGGGTTGGGGTTTCACCTCTGAAGGACCAGTTTCCTTCCTTGTATGCTCTGTCAGATTTGAAAAATGAACCTATCTCTTCTTTGGGTGGAACCTCGGCCTACAAAGGGCAATTAAGGATACAGACTTGGACAGCCTCTTACCTTTATTAGCCATCCTTGAGAATATCTTCCTTGATCCTAATAAGGAAGACACCAGAATTTGGATCCCTTTTACTTCAGGAACCTTCTCTTGTGCTTCATTTTTTGAAACCTTAACTCAGTCATTTGCCCCTTCTGGTGTGTCCTTTCCGATTAAGGAAATTTGGAGCAAGCCCATCCTCCTCGGGTTGGGTTTTTTTGTTGGGAAATTTTCTTGGAAAGAATAAATACAAATGATCTACTTCAGAAAAAGAGACCCAATTCTTGTTT